GGATAATAGTCTTCTAACAGAATTGATGAATTAGGATTGAGATGAAGCTTTGAAGCTGCAGTCTCTGACCTAGTCACTTGGTAAATACATTCTTCATGAAGCAATTGTGAGGCTTTTTTATATATTTGAGTAAGCCGATCACATAGTATATGATGTAGTCTGAGGAACAAATACCAGTTATTATTGCCATAAAATAAAGTGTAACATTCTTCCGTACTAGAATGTTCAGGTGCTTTTAATTTATCATGATCTGTTACTTTAAGCTCGGGTAAATCTTTTTCTTCGGAGATCCGCAAAGATGCTTTAGTCGTTTCAGGTGAATTATTATTTGAACAATCATTTTGACCATCACGTTCATCGTCACTTAACTCTTGCCTCGGATGATGAAACATATCGGGAATGAACCTTCTGATAAGTGATTTTATTTTTTGTTTGTCTTCTTTATTGATGCTTGCTTGTCTCTTGACATGATGAATCAACAAATTAGCAGCATCATCTATAATTGATTTATCGATATATGAAAACACCATATGAGGTCCAGTGATAGTATCACTATGTTCATTACGTTCATCATATAAAGCTTCAATTTCATTTAGTAACGATTTTGACCTAAGAAATTTCATGTCACTTTGTTTAAAATTAACACCTTGATGGTCTAATGATTTAAGATAGTACTTTTCATTTTGACTTTTCCATATTTCATTAAAAGTATTTCTTGCTACTTTCCATTCTTCATTTTTGGATTTTAGCCTTTTTAAAACTATTGGAACAGCGGTTAATGGATTTTTTTGAAGTCCTTCAAGTATATCTGTTGTCTTATCACCATATAATCTTTTAATAGCTCGCCTATTGGTTGTCATTGAAATTGTATCACTACCAAAACTACAGTCATCCATTTTAAATTTTGATAGTTCTTCAGGTGTCATTCTATTAAATCTTCTTGTTAGTTCTTCTAAACAATATATTGCTGCCAAATTAACTTCCATTACGAGATCGAGTTCAAATCTTTCATCTTCGCACCTATGCATGTATTCCTCGTATTGAGTTTTTCGACTAGTAGCAAATGATGATTCTTCAGACCACGTAGGGAAAGAGACCCATGTGTCATTTAGTACTTCATAACACATTTTCGTCCTACCGCTACATTTAGGAGTTAGATAATCTGAGGGTACAGCACAATAACTTGCACCTAACCTTTTACAGATGCTGTAATCTATATCAGTAGGTAGATCACCAGCGGATCTATCTTGACGATTAGAACCCGGGTCAAGTAACGAAAAATGTGGTAATCCACAAAGTTTGTTTTCCGTTGGAACTGCGGTAGCATTATTACTTTTTTCACTGGTCCCAATAAAATCTTTAAATCTTCTAAACAATTCTGAATATTTTCCAAGGAAAGGCTGCACTAAATTTAGCAGTTCTGATTTAGATATGATCTCAGTGTAATATAAAACTAAACACCTCAAGAAATCATCATACGCGGCAGCATTATGAATTGACTTTCTAACAAGATCAAAAAAGGCAAAATCTGTTAATGTACCGTATTTATATGCTTCTTGATAAGATACGTCTCCCAAACTAGGAAACGGAGATTTTGGTTTTTTAGGCGGTGGTAAATTCTGACTGGAAGAAAACGACGAAGTTCTCTTCAAAGCTACGTTTGGAATACTTGGCTCTTTAACAATTTCCTTAGTAATTGGAATAGCTGCCGGATGTTCTTTTTTGATGGGAGGTGGTGGTGGCAAAGGAATTACAGGAGGTGCACTAGTAACAACAGTAGTCTTCTTGGGAGGGACAATGATTGCTTCTGCCGCCTGTTTAGCATCAGGTGATTTAGCATCTGGTAGAAACTGTCCAAATTCCAATAGTAAATCATCTTGGTTTTCAAATAATTTAGCAACTTGCTGATATACTTCAGCTTCAGTTAATGTTTTTTCAGCAACTGGCACATTATCTTTATGAGTTTTCTGCTCTTTTTGATAAGTATGTAATATTTCTAGAAATCTTTTGTATTTTTCTGGTTGCCCTTGAAAACGATTTTTAATTTTATTCACATAATTTATGGCGTGATTAAACTCGACTGGTTGATTTTGAGAGTTGGTTGATTCCTGAGTTGTAGGTATCGATACTTGAGGTATATTAGATGCCACTTGGCTTAAACTAGCTACAGACAAAGGTATTTGGGTTGGATGAACTACACTGCTAGTAGGTGCAGTGGGTGTCACACTATTATGCGTAGTATGGTGATTAATTACAACCGAAGTAGTATTGACCTGGTTAACGGCAGGTAAATGTCCGGCTGGTTTAATTACTACAGGCGGTGTGGTAGTCAAAGTGACTGGTGGAGTAGTAACTATTGGGGTGCTCGACATTATATGTTGAGTCGTCGAATGTATAATTGTCTGGGAAGACGTTATCGCCGGACTTTGAGGTATCGACACAGAAACGTGAAAACCAAGTTCGTTATTTTTTATTTCTATTTTATAACCCGGAGGTAGGAACGTATTAAAACCCACTATGAGCTCAGGATGACCTTTGAATAGGTTTGAGACCCGTGTTATCACTCCGGGGGTGTCTATGCTCTGCGACTTGAACTCTTTCATTATGTCCAAGAAGTCATTGTACACTTGAGGTTGATTACTAAATTTATATTTCACCTGATCCAAATAGGACAGGGCATCTTCGACCTTGAGTCTCTGAAATTGAGTCTGCTGCTGCTGCTGCTGCTGTTGCTGTTGCTGTTGTTGCTGCTGCTGCTGCTGTTGCTGTTGAATTATAGTCGCGGGCGGCACAACTTTTTGCCTTATCTGTTGAATAGAATGTTGTGCTTGTATTGTGTGGAGGGCCGGTATGGCGGATCCACCAGGTAGCGAACCAGGAACCTTATCGTTGATGGCTAGGACTGGCATTGTGGGCGCGCTGAAAGGCTGCACCGTGTTGAACTGTATGTTCGGGTTGTTTATCGCCTGCGAAACGAAATTCGACTGGACGACATTGGAAATAGTCACCAGGTTGGGCCTGGACCTAGGTGGTGAACGGGTGGTAGCAGCGGTGGCGTATGCACCGACAGTGTCCGCGGACGCCATGTGTTCATCCGAATGCCGTTTCATTTCTCGTCACATTTGTCCGGTTAACTAACATCACGACATGCATCGGACCGGACCAGCGAGTGGACGTTAACATGGCATTATCGCCGGGCACGTATGCGGCGGTCGGCAAGAAAAATGAAACGTTTAGAGTCAGTGCGCAGTGCTGGCGGTCTGTCAGACGGTTTGCAACGAGTACGCGACGGAAGCGGACGGGACGACGGGAACAGAACGGTTTTTCGTGCGAGTAACGATACGCGGACCGACCGAAATGCAATGCAACGCAAAGTGTAAACAAACGTTACGCTACCGATCAGCGTTAGTGCGGGAGACGGGCCGCTTGTTGAGGTGAACCCCAGCGGGGAATGGCGGGCGGGCGGTGGGGACATATGAGAGAAATCTTGCGGTGGCCACGTTGCCGGACCGAACAACGGCCGTTCCGTTCCGGCCGTGCCGAGTGATCTGACTGAGTGCCGTCTGGCGATTTCCCCGGCCGAACGCGACGCGTCTCTTATCAGCGACGGTCCGGCAACTCCGCACCAGGTGTTTCACCAACAACTGTTGCAAAATGGCTGACGATAATAAAATTATTGTCGCGGTAAAATACGAACGCCTCGGCGACGTCCGCACACAGGACCACAACGACACAACATAACGGCAGGAGAGGCAAAGAATATTATTTCCCAGGGTTTCCGACTTCCCGTCGTCGTCCTGCAACTCACAAGTAATGGCACAAATGGCATGAGCACAACGCCGTCACGTCATGTCGCGCGTTTCCGGATTCTCGTCCGCGATTCGTACTATTCCTGCCGAATTAGGGGTACGACGGCTACACACCACAGCCAAACTGCTACAGGTCGATCGCGGACGGTACATCATACAAATATTGTTAATTGTTATTACGATTTTTGGTTGTTGTACTATTCTATCATGGTCGGTACACCGATATTCCGTGTTCGTGTCGGCCGGTGTACCGTGAAAAATACCATCGTACTATCACAATATTATAATGCACAGCTGCTACGACGGCGACGGTCCCCCATGAAAGTGATGACGACGAAATGTTCGATTTTTGTGATGGCATCTTATTAAGACTTGCGTTGTACACTTGTACCTACGAACAATAATATAATACTTTGCATCCATTATTGTGGATGGACATATACGTGTACCTATGTATTATTATATTCACTGTTCGACGGATGGTGAAAAACAATATATTTTATAGTTCAAAACTTATCTCAAATATAAAATCGATATTAATTGGAGAAAAAAGGAATATTGCATAATGCTTCCGTAATTTATCGCTCGTTGCGGTTTGTAAAATATATATTATTATAATATTTATGTATGCCACCTACTTACTTTTATTCGACTGTGTTATGATATTATAGTAAACGATTTTACGATATATTCATTTTTGTCGTTGAAATGTCAGCTAAACTGCCGGCTTTAAATACCCAATGTACCACGTTAACTATAGACGCTTTATTTTCGTTATTGTTTTAAATGTTGACATGGTTCAATTTACGGACCCAATATTTATTTACTAAATATTGCTGGCATTATATTATTATAGGGTCAAGGCTACACACTTACGTCTTACACATATATATATAGGTAACTTACTTATATATTGTGTTCACAGGTTATGCGGTCATAATTTTTTTATCACCTTCTTATAGGTTAAATGTTGTTATAGACCGATATAATAATAATAATTATTATAACAACAATTGTTTAGGACTTTAGGAACAGGTACCTATTTACCTATTACCTACTCACTATTATGTTTGGTCTCCATGGTACCTCTGAACAATAACAAATTAAAGTTGGGACGTTGTGTAATGTGCACCTACCTAAATGTAATAACTTATAAACCTACATTGGCTACATTTACTGATGTTTTTAAACATGGCTTTACATACGTATTCAATTTTATATTTAAACTTAGTGTGTGAAATGATTTATGTTGTGGCAGAAAGATTAAAAACACAAAAAATTCAAATAGACAAATCCAAATTAGGTACTTATCATAATACCTTTTACTAATTAATACGGACATTAATGAAAATAATTTTTTTAAATAAAATATAGTTTATAATATTATTAGTGTTGTTAACATAAAAAATAAAATAATTTACATAAATATGTCAAATTTACACTAATAAAAAGATTTTACTATTTATTTGATTTATATTTTATATTGCAGTTCTAAATGACATAATTGCTGCATCACTTAACTGTCCATTTTTGTTTGTACCAACATCTATCGTTAACAAAGATATTTTAAATAAAAGTATATGTTGTGCAGTTCATTCTTCAATTATGCGACTGAATGATTCTAGTATGGAAAAGTTAATGGGTTTGATAGAAACCTCAGTAAAAATGCAAATGTTCTCAAGTAATGGTCCAAGGCAAGTATTATTAGTAACATTGAATCATTTAGATTCTATCCGTGAACTGGCATGTACTCATCAATTGAAACAAAATATAGATGTCATACAACACAATTTCTATCAAGTAATTGTTATACACATTAATACATAGCTTTAAATTTGAATAAGTAAGTATAATTTGTTATTAATAGACATTTGAGAAAATGACAAATGGAGAAATAATGAGAGTACGTTACGCAATGTTGAATTATTTGCAAGATATACACGTTAAAGTTACCATATTTATTAAAGAAGGTTTACAGCGGTACAACGGATCATTTGTTTCAGTAGGAAAATGGGTGATTCCACATGGTTAAGTATATTTGTAGTTTAGATCATAGATTTTATTTTCATGTAGTGATTTATGCTGTAGTGTTAATAAGAGTTAATACAGTATTTAAAAACGTGTATATTGCACTCCATTATGTACTTGAATTGTTTAATATTATTTGAAAGTTAGGTTTGCAATTTTTATCACGGTATTAATGTGTATCAAACTATTATTATGGATAGAGCATTACAGATTTTATAGATAGTTTTTGCACAAATCAAACACAATTTTAAATTGTTGAGGACAGAACTTTTTTTTAATCTGCTTTTGTTCAGCCACTTATATTAAAATTTTCTAAAATAAAATTTGTATAAAATATTAATAATAAAACATTTAAAAATATATAAATTAATTGTTATAGCTATTTATAACACAATTTTTTTTTATTTATTAGGTAACACTTTATTTTAAAGAAAATTTAGTATAAAACTACTTAAAAATATTAATATAAACAAATTGTATAGCACACACGTTAATTTGTTACAAACTAAGTATATTAAATAATATAAATCAAAGTTTATGTTCAAGTCAAATTAAAATGGTTGAAATATAAATCATTTTAGAAAACCATTTTATAACAATTTATAATAACACATGAATAAAATAACACATTAAGTTCTTTATATAAAAGAATAACAATTATGTTGAAATAGTTAAATTTAAGTTATATTAATTTGTAAAAAATAAATAATTTGTATTCTTAGACCTAATATATATTTTAAAAAATTAATTTGATAATAGAATGATTTTAAGTACCAAGGTAATAGTTATAATCAAAATATTTAAGATATAATGTTTATAATGTATTGCAGGATGTGAAGCTCCAGGTGTTATAAGAGTATTCAATAAAAATAGTACTCTTATTGACATCAGTACATTTCATCCAATTTCATTTTACAAAGTAGAAACCGAAATAGGTTCAATTAAGCCAAATAGTCCTCGGATCACTACTCTTGGGCTTTCAATGTAAGACTGAAAAATAAAAAAATAGAAAAAAGCTATAATATAGTTTAATAAATATTTGTATTTTCAGATTTAATATTAATAAAAATATTAATCAACCTTCCGAAGAAACATCAGATCCATTATTTAATGGCCAGACTAGTCGCGATGGATATAAACAAGAAATGGATCTTTTTGTTACCCAACTGATGGGTAACGATAATGATAGTGAAGAAATCACTAATTTGGATCTTGAAATATTAGATACTTCATTAAATACAAATGAAAAGTAATGGGAATACAATTTTATCTAACAATTTGTATTTTATTTTAAATTATTTAATGATATTACAAGACTATAGTTTTAAAACTGTATGATTTTAAGTTAGGCATATTTCCCAAGCTAATGAGTTAAAATTAATATAATAACTGTGCAACCACAGAATAATGGTTTATGAAATAAATAAATATTTATTATGTGATATAAAATATATAAATATACAAACAATTTTATTTCAGCAAAATAGAAGAAAAAATGTCAGAACACAATATTTTAGATTTTACTCAAATTACTAGCAATTTGTCTTTACAAAATATAAGAACGGAAATGGACGATTCAGTTTCAAGACCAACCGGAGATATACTAAACATGATGCAGTTATTAGATTTGGAATAATTACCTGTTCAGATTTGAAATTTTAATCATAAAGATTGTTCCGTTCCAGATCTCTAAACTCTAAAATATAAGTTTTAAGACGTAGTTTAAGTATTTCACGACAAATGTCTTGACTATGATCTGGATTTATAATGCCCATACGATACAGTTGGTTTTCATTTATTCTTATTAAAGCGCGTCCAATTATTTCATGCTGAAAATAAATTATGATATAGTAATTAATCATAATATATATTTATAGAAACATAATTTGTGGTATTTTATTTTGTTTAGTATGACTTAAATGTTAATGTTTTTTTTTAAGTATTCAATTTTATAATTATGATATATTAGGTATTGTTTTTAAACAATACAATAAAATATTTATCATTATGAATGTTGAATTGATCAGTTTTTTGTAATTTAAATCTTTAAATAAATTATGAAAATGTATAACTTTACAATATGATCCTGTTTTTTATAATGTTACTAAAACAAAAAAATATACCTATTAGTATTATAACTACCTACTTTACAATTCTATTCTGAAGGAAAAATAAGTGTTAAATTAGTTCTTAAATAAAGGAGTTTTTAATTATGTAGGTAATTAGGTACCTGCAAGAACTTTTCTCCATATAAAACATAATAATCATAGCAATGACGTCGAAACCATTTTTGAACATCTTGTACAGTCCATTGATAAACAACTTTAGGCCGAGCTGCTCGACTATTCTAAGATTAAAATAACAAGGTTCTAATTACATATTAAAGAATTAAAATATAAGTGTTTTTTTACTAGCATAAATCAAAGAGTATTGTTTATATAAATTTCCAAATAAAAGAACATTTGTCTTCAAAACAGAATTCATCGATCTTTCGTTTAAATATATATTACGACTAAACAATAAAATAATTTACTAATAACATTTTGTGCACAAAAATGTCACCGAATTCAGAAACGTTTGTCTGAAAATACTTCGAACGTTCAGAACGAACCAATAAGTATTTGCAAATTTAAAAAACAACACAAGCAACTAAAATATAGGTACTTGGTGTTTGGCATAGGCGTGCGCAGGGGTGGCCTGGCACCCCCTGACATTTAATTGGGGCCCTAAAATATTTAATATTTATTTGATGTTTAGCATTGTACAAGTTGTTCATATGAACAGGTAGTTATATTTGAAATTAAATATTGTGAAAAGTAAATTCAGAAGTATCATGACCCAATACTGTTTGGAATCATTAATTTTACTTTTTACGGAACAAGAAATGGCCTCTAATGTTGAAGTAGATTTAGTTATTACTTATTAATGAGTTTAATAATTTAAGTAATAGACGCATATTATTATAAATCTATAACTGTTGTATTAGAATGTTAAATAAACATGTAACTAAGTAAGTAATATTTATTTGTACAATATAATTTACTAAAATATGTATTATGTACAATGTACATGTCTTGTTAAGAGAGGGCCCAAAAATATTGTAGGAAACTAGGAACCCCCCGAAATCCAGGTCTGCGCACGCCTATGGTGTTTGGTAAGATAATTATTATATATTATAGGTAATCGCAAAATTGCTTTTTAATTAAATATTAACATATTAATCATGCTAATGTAATTATATAAATAATAATAACATAATTAGGTATTTAAATCTTACCCTTGGTTTGATGACATTTTGGTTATCTTCTAAAATCATTGCTTTTACTTAAACTTTACTAGGTATGTATACGCTTAAAAATTATCACGTTTTCATACCCTAATACAGTAATACGTAACACACTTCAACAGTTTGAAAACATTACAATATCGTTACGAGAATACCAGATAGGTCATTGTAATAATTACATCCTAGATATACAGATAATATAAGCATTGACATTTAAAATTTAAAACAACTTCATTTTATGTATATATTATAAATGTTTTAGTAAACTATGATCTGAACAGTTTAAAGTTGTAATTACTACAGTTATTATTTGTATAATTTAATCTACATACAGACGTAGAGTACCAGAATAAATAAATTGATAGTTTATTACACAACACTACTACAGTCTATAGCAAGTATCAGAGGACAGAGATTTAAGAAAAAAGCTAAATGATTCGATGTCACTGATGTCAGACTTTATTACTTTAAGGTAAATAAATAAATAATAATATTGACTATTGTACATAAACAATAATATACACAGACCCGGAATTTCTAAGGTGTTCGTATCAATATCAACGATGATAGTTGATAACGTTCTCCGAGACCTTGGCAGCAGCAGCTGCTTACACGTGAGTTTAGTGTTCATGACAGCATTTTGCAAATGTGCATGTAGCGTGTGCATTGTGCTTCGAAGTTTGAAGTGTCCGAATACAATGTGAACCTGCAGCTGCTGCCCATGTGGCAGGTACTTCCCTGTATAATGGCTGTATTGATATATTATGTTATTGTTACCTACGACCTATCTACTCGTAATGATCTGTTACGGCATTGATTTCACGTGATTTCACCACCGAATACCGATTGCGATTCCCAATAATACTTATTGTGCCATTGTTATTTGTCCAATGATTTTGTACGATATGGTCACAATTCACAAATAGAATATGAATTAATGAATATAACCAATAATAATTTATAATAGTACCTATACATTATGGCTATCTATTTATTTCATCTCATGATATTATATTTTGTTTATTCAAATTTTATTTTGAATGTAAGTATAATTGTTTGATAGGTAGGTACCTACTGCAGGCTCTATATTGTATATCTACTTTGTCTCAGAGTGTTTTTACTCTAAATCGTGTATCAGTTTGAAAGGAAGTTTATATGTAGGTATATGTTGTAAATAATACACGAATAATGCAATTACCCCTCCCTCCCCATTCAATGCGTTTGAACTTTGAGTTCTAAACAGAACATGCAATTATAAATCAATATAATATAATAACGAACGACATTTAACAATTGAATCGCTCTGTATAAACAAACAATAACGAGACAAAGGGTTGCTATATTGCAGTTTTGCATTAAACACCCACATATAACTACATATCTACCTATATATATATTATATTATAAGGTTTAACTGTTTAGAAAAAGTGCTTTCACGAATAAGTTCAAACGTATGGAATAGTAACACGCAGTCGTGATTCTTCATTCCAACACAATGCAACCACCACATTTTCTCGATAAAAATTAAGACATTTTAAACTCTATACCAGTTACACAACTATAATATTATTATAACTTCACAGTATGGACGACCGGACAGTAGACTTAATTTTCGCAGGATCACTCGAGAATTTACCTCCAGTTAGTTCTAAAATTGTTAGAATTTTTACCAGCTCCACATTTACAGGCACGTGATTATGATTACGATGACGAGAGTTGCTTAAAAACTTTATGCTAAAATAATATATTATTAATTTACATTTGAAAAAAATAAATTTTCAGATACAACGATGGAGAGAAATACATTAATGGCTCAATGTTATCCAAAACTGAAAGATTTTTGCCGGGAAAAACATGGACTAGAATTTCAGGTGAAAATAAACTGACACGAAATGAAGTGAACCTAGTTTGAGAACATTATGTTTTTTATTTCTAAATTACAGCTTTATTATATAATATAATATCATGTAGGTAATTATAAAATTATTTATTATTTAAGCAGTAGATAATAAGCCATATTATTATGTTTATATACTATGCACAATGGTTAATTATTATTAATTTTTTTGAACATATTGTAGTATACCTAAATTAAAATTTGGTGCTGTAGGTAACACATTTGTTTTAATATAAATTATTATCGTAATTAACACTTTATAATAGTTATATAGGTACTTATATAACATAACGATAACATTATGTAGAAATGGTAGTTATTAAATGTAAGTACCTATCTATTATAATCTTCCTCACATTACATATTTTGATATTTTGATTGCCCTGCTTGGCTGCTTTACTGTATGAATGCAGGATAAACACCTAATCTTAATTTGCCTAATTTTCTAGAATTCTTTAACATTCTTTTCAACATCCCCTCCATGGCTCCATTCTTAATACAAATCTGAATTTACGTAGTTATCATATAGGTACCTAATAGATACATGTTTGTGGACTGTGGTTGGTATGTTAAATTATATCATTAGTTTTTATTTTATTTACAAGATGATTCACCAAGCCTTCTCTACTCCTATTTCTTCTTCGATAACACAGTTATAAAAAATATGATTTTTGGAATTTTAAATTGTATAGTAGGTACCTAGGTAGCCAGGTAGGTACTTAAAAGTTAAGGACCATTATGTGTACCTATATTCAAATTATTAAAATTGTTTGTATTATACTTAGGAGTGTTCTGTGGAAAACACATTTTTCTTTTTCAAATTACTACTCTCCCCCACCACTTAACATCAATTTATATAGCGGATTATTTTTCTGTAAAGGTTGACGTATCAAAATCATAATTTTGAGTTATTTAACTTTGTGTAATAAAGTCATAAGGATAATGGGTATTTGGAAAATTGGGGTCTATGGTAATTTGAAAATTTTAGTAATTTATGTTAATCTACAAAACTTTTTCATAAAAATGACCCGCCAATTAATGTATAATAAAAAGGGGGGTTATTATTTGAAAAATGGAAGTTTGTTTTTCCACAGGACAATGCTAAGTATAGGTAGTACAAAAAATCTCAAGTATTAATATTACACTGCTTTTAAGGGTTTCTGAAAGTTGATGTTTGTGTCTCTTAATTGTTATTATTATTATTTTTTTTTTTATAAGGGTTAATGCTTCGACAACTTAGGTCATTAGCATGTGGTACTGTAAGGGGGGTACTATAGGTTTGTTAACACGTGTGTGTTTTATCAGAATTTTCGATTTGGACACCGGTAGGTATCTGCCATGCCCGGGTGGGGAATGGCGGCACTTGTTCTCCGGACACCATGACTTTCCCGAAGAAAAATGCCTCCCACGGGCCGGGAATCGATCCGGAGACGGCTGCGTCGCAACCGACGGCTTAGACCGCTCGGCCACTCCATCACACACCCACCACATCCCCCTCTCTTAATTATTATACCTTATTAGTTATTAGTTATTATTACTTGTTAGGTATATCTTAACTCTTAATTTGGTATACCTATAATTCAATAATTTTCGTCATTCCATAAGTATATGTTTGACTAAGATGAGTGTACCGCAAAATCGGCATTGTGGGGGATCTTCCTTGGCCATGCCAGTGTTCATACTTGAATGTCTGTTTGATGCAAGTATGGCCTATTCGAACTTCGAAGGTGGTTGGTTTATGGTTGTACTGACAGTATAGGTAAGTTAGTTTATCGGAAAATGTATTTCGTTTAATGCCTAATGGGCGTTTTCGGTACCTATACTTGCAATTTTATTTTATTTTAGTAGGTAAACGCATCATACTCAAAAAAAAACCAATTAAATATTTAACAAAAACGATATATGGTTATATATGTTGGCTGAGAAGCTGTAAGATCGGCTTATTGTTTGTAATACGCATTATAGTGTATAATCTCGTGAGATGTGAATTTAGGGGAACGTAAATGGGCTGTTCTAAATAATACAAATTTTTTATTGGTATTTTTGCTTGTTTGTCTTTGATTGGGACTCATCAAATTTATTCGTGAACTCGTTTTTATTAATGTAATGATAATAATATAAACTTTTTTTTTATCTGACTTTCTTTATTTATTTTAAATCACCCTTTTTAATTTTTATTCTTAAAATGTATATCCATATTTTAATTCATTACAATATTAATTACTATACCTAATTATAAATATACTATAATAATTGATTTTATGATTTAAAACAGAAACATGCTACGTGCCTATATTATGGTATATTTTATGTATGCTATATATATATATATATAATCTACTATAGTTGTTATTGTATTAATAGTATGCATGTCTATAAGTATTTAGACACGATATAAAAGTCTTGTAAATCAATACAATAAATTCGACCTTGATGGATATCTGCGTACCAGGTACGGTTGGTAAGTTATTTAGGTACCTATTTATAATTTTAAATTTTAGGTGGTTGATATGAGATGGGGTGTTCGTGATGAAGCCACAGATGATCACATGACAACTGAACTTTGTATGAAAGAAATTGAAAACTGTCAACGTTTATCAATGGGACCTAACTTTGTGGTAAAACTTAAAAACATATCCTAAAAACGGTTTACAATTTTGTAAAATATAATACATTGTATACATGCACATCTTATCCAGTGGTGGATCTAGGATTTTGAGTAGAGGGGGGGGGGCAACATTTTTCAAAAAAATAATACATACATACCTATTTATAAAAAAAAACTTAATTAGTTGTTATTAGAATAAAATTATTTTATATTATCATTTAATTATTATGTACCTATAAGTTACTAATATAATACAGTTATTGTATGTCACTACTATATTTATCATACTATATAGCACTATTCATTACTTATCTTGGATAATGGGTTGTTCTGTGTTCACGCTAATAGATATTCAAGGCTCAGGCAAACAATGCAAGATTGGTTCTAACTTCTATTGAACGATAATTTTCTATGTTGGCATATTATGCATGGGTCTGAGAGAGAAATCTATTCATTCTAATCGTGTGCTAATAATATCTGAATATAGGAATTCATTTTTAGATGTATACAATTTTCATATTAAGAATTTATAGGTATAGGTATTCTTATATTTTATAATCATGCATTTTTTCTATCTACTACAGGTATTTTTGGGACAAAAATATGGCTACCGTCCGATTCCTACGTATATTACTTCATCAGAATTGGAGTTATTGAGGGAAGAGTTGGTCAATGTTGGTTCAGATGTCACCTTATTAGACATGTGGTATAGAAAAGATAGCAACGCTGTACCCCCAATATCTGTTCTGCAACCCATTTCTTCAATACTTATCAATTTTAATAATAAAGTAATGTAAAAACTAAAAACCAATATAATATTAAGATATAATAACAACTCATTTTTTTTAATTTTATGGTTTATTATTGTAGTCAATATTATAATATTATAATGTAAAAATCCGAAATTAAAAAATAATTATTTTTCAACTAGATAATGAGGGTTGATAAGTAGCCACGTGCCGTCATAGAGTCAATTGGAAGCCTATATTTTAAAAGATTTTAATGCAAAATTCATTATTTTTGGGGAAGTTGCCGGCAATGATTTTTAAGTACAAAATCCATTTCGTACATCAGATAATTGAAAACATAAACTTTTATTTGTCGGCTTTCGACTATTTTACTATAACTTTAGATTCTGAGCTACCTAGTGGTTTTAAAATGGTGGTAATTTTTTTATATCTTGTATACAAAATATCTACCAGAAGGAATGCTTTCAACATAATATAGTACTTTATCTTTTAGCAAATTGGATCAAGATGGTACTTTAGAGATGTCATTTTTCGATTATCTCAATAATTATTTAATGCCACTGGTAAAACCACCGAAAATTACGAAAAACCGCTTAAAATAGGATTTTAATTTCTAACGCTTTGCTTATCACCATAGAAACGAATAAAAAATAATAATATTATTATAATATTAATTCAACTTATAACGGGTTTTTCAATAGAGGCGCTCGAACTTTGATCAGATATATCGGGAATGTCATTAAAGCCTTATCTGCATAATTTTTGTGAATTGTTCAGTACCGTATGGCAAATCACCATGAACGGTTATAGCGTAGAACAACGTGTGCGTATAATTAAATTTTATTACCAAAATCAGTGCTCCGTTAGTGAAACTTTCCGCGCATTACTCGATTTTTATCCTCGAATTTTGCGTCGAGACTTGGGTCTGCACCCGTATGAAATCCAACTAACACAAGGACTCAAGGTAAACGACCATACACAACGTCGTGTATTCGCTGATTGGGTTCTGGGGCAGTTAGCAGTTGATCCAAACTTCGCTAAAAAAATAATCTTTAGCGACGAGGCCCATTTTTGGATGAATGGATACGTTAACAAACAAAATTGTCGGATTTGGGATGATACCAATCCACACAAGACACAAAAAAACAAAATGCATCCAGAAGAGATCACTGTTTGGTGCGGATTTTGGTCTGGCGGAATCATTGGTCCGTACTTCTTCCAAAACGAAACAGGCATTGCCATAACCGTCAACGGTGAGCGCTACAGATCAATGATCAACAACTTTTTTTTGCCTAAGCTCTATGATATGGATACTGAAGACATGTGGTTCCAGCAGGATGGTGCTACGTGTCACACGGCGCGTGCAACGATGGACATTCTGAGTGAACGATTTGAGGGCATGGTGATATCACGCAATGGTGACATAAACTGGCCTCCGAGATCGTGCGATTTAACGCCATTAGACTTTTTTCTTTGGGGCTATCTTAAATCGCATGTCTATGCAAATAAACCACAAACAATTTATGCCCTCAAAGTCAACATAATCAACACCATCAAGCAAATTCAACCAGATTTATGCAACAAAGTGATAGAAAATTGGACCACCCGAATACGTGCCACCAAGCAAAGCCGAGGCGGACATTTGAAAGATGTTATATTCCATAAATAATTGCCATATAACTTTCTTTAAAATAAAATAAAAATTAAGTATATATCTCACACACAACTTGTTTTTTTCACTATGAAACATCGAGCGTCCTTATTGAAAAACCCTATACATGATATAATAATAAATAATAACAATATGAAACATCCAGACTGACAAACCGTCTCCGCTTAGAATCATTTTTCTCATACAATAATATTATATATTTATATCATTGAATTCAAGTTTAATACAATCCATTATACTTATAACCTACTGTACAGCAGAGCGACATCCACTTACCCTCTTTTTTTTGTTTAGGTATTTGTATTGTATAATTAAACATTATAAATTATAATATTATATACTTACATTTTTAGATTAAACTAAAATAGTCTTAATAGTTGTATTCAAACATTTTTTTTCGGATATTTCCGATATTTAGTGAAGCAACCAGCCGAAGCCCCTAAATAAATGTTCCTAAAAAGTAACCCGATGGACCTCTGCCCCACACCTCCATCATAATATTGTAAATCGTATAATTATGGCAGCGCTCAGTGGCGTATATAAGGGAGAGGTGGCCCCCTAGGCCAGGGCCCATAGTGAAATTGCAGGTTTAATTAAAGCATTTCATCATTCATGTATATCTATATTCTACACTGTTTACAGTTTTTCACAATGATTAATTTAGCCGGTTGATTAAAATCGTTTTTGAGAAATCCACAAGGAAATGTTGTCAGGACTTGCTCCGATGACTTTGATGTTAAATTCACAGTTAGATAACATTAAATTATATACCTATGTATGAAATTGTCAATATTTATTAGAAAAGAATTAAAAAATTAATTTTACATAATTATAAAATTTAATTGTTCAATTTTATTTGTATCGTAGATGTCATAATTATAACCACCCAGCTCCCTAAAATATGTTAGTAATATGGCTATGTTAGTCGTTCTATAAGGGATAAATTGTCAAAATTAGCCCATAGTGAAAATAATTTGTATATACGCCACTGGCAGCGCTATATCAAACTAGAAAATTTAGCAGCTTTGAGGGATAGTTCTTCACGCATGCGTTGAGTAAAAAATAATTTAGCGGCGTTAGATGGCGCTGCCATTATCGAATTAATTTAAATCTAAATAATAATTTCTGGCAATGCCATTCGCAGAGTTAGTTTTGATTAAACCTCACTAAACCTAACAAAACCCAACTAATATTTAATTTTTTTCATTTGTAACCACTTGAAAATTTGTAAAATAAAATATGGCTGTTGCCAATGACTCAAATCAAGGTTGTTTCAAGTACCACCAAAGAATAAATAGTTGTAAATATATCTACTACCTATGAATATTCATTATTAAGCATTTGATTATGTTATTGCTTAACTATTATGTTTCTATAACTACCTATCTAAGTGAAATAATTCATATATTATCTATGATCTATCACATTTATACTCTAGGTTTTACCTATGATTTATGATTTAAACTTTAAAGTACAATATAAATAACAAACAATTAATATTACCTCAAATAAATTAATAATATAAATACTGAAAACTGCCACCGTGGTATATCACAATTCACGGATACAGACAACATTGTATGATATTTACTCCAATAGTTTTAAATAATAAGAAAAAACTAGAAAGTACATCAAAATTATAATCTCATATTCTCATCCTTGTTATAACGATAGAATGCACTTTAGATTATAAAAAAATGGTAACTTTAAACTTTAGTGATTTAACTATCCTCCCCGCCCCTAAACACCACGTTTGATGACCATTGTAATAATATAGATTTTACACTAAAACATACGCCCTCTATAACGGTACATGCATATTTTAAATGCCTGCGTGTCTCCCTGAATAATATTAGAGTTTAAGTGTGAGATCCACACAATATTCCTTAGATTAATTTAAATCTAAGCGAAACTATTCATAGTGTTTTTATGCACCTTAAGTCAACAATAATCTATGTATTTTATATTTCCAGCGAATTCCAAAACTTCAACAACAAGATCAAGGCATTTGGTGGGATACGTTGGCTAAAATGCAGAAATTATTTAGGAAATCTTCGATAAGTTTATTTAATAGCGGGAAGATTGATAAAGACACTATGCACAACTATTATATGTCGGGTAACTACAAAAAATAGAATGTAAAATAAATTAAAATATAATTGTTCAATATTGTTGACTATTTAACTTACATTCAAATTGTTGAATTGGTGTTTAGTGACAGAAAGAGAAGTTATAAATGGTATATTAAAAGTAAAGAACACAAAAAATCACTGTCTTGCTTATGTACGCTATATAAATAACATCAATCTCCAAAATCTGAAGAAAGCTTCAAACTTTTTGGATATAGTTAATAGGAGTATTGATACAGAGGCAGCTCGTTTACTGGGGAACTTGCGAGATGAACGTCTCGTGCAAAAAATAGAAACAACAAATTACCAAAAGTAATTCTATCAAATTAATTACCTATTACTAAATAATTATACAATATACATTTAATACCTATCATAAATCAAATTAATAATAAATAGTAGTCGAATATTAAATTAGGTACCTACCTAGTCCATAAGCGCAAATAGCGTTTGAAATTATTCGAGGGCTTAGCCCCTAAGCCCCTTCCCTTTTTTATTTGCGACTATGGTAGGTTTTACCAATACTATTGTTAGTACCTAAAAATAGGTATATTTTAGGTACTACCTAAAAAAATTTTAAAATATTGTTATTAGGCCTACCTATATGCATTCCTTGATAATTAATTAACAAAATAATGTCAAAAGTAGGTACATAATGAGTAGGTATGTTTGAATTTTAGATTGGGAAAACAGTGCGATGAATAATGTATTGATTTTGCAATAATCTGTGTAATTTTCTTATTTTTCTGTCAACACCTTGTGGGACAGTAAACATGCTTTAATGTTCTTTAACAGCATCTTTTTAAATTTCAAATAGTTGTCAAAAGCGTCAGGAAAGACAAACACATTTGAGATTTTTATGCAAAACCAGTTTTTGAAAAAATTGATTTTGTTTTTCAGTGGAACTCCAAAATCAATTATTGAATATAAATGAGATTTTCAGGGAATTTTTATATAAGCAATTTGAGTGCCAATTTCTATACAGCATAATATTTTAGAAATATTGCGACTCTCTTTGAGCTATTTATAGGCATAAGAAAATTTCAAGTTTTATTAGTTTTTTTTTAAACTATTGTTGATGCAAAATTTTTAGGTGGTCAAAAAAACTTGAAAACGTAATACAACGTTCTCCATAAGTTAATGTTATTGGAAATTAAAAAGAGTTGAGCTTAAATCCACAGTTATTTTAAAGTTAAAGTTGCAATCATCAAAATCACGAAAATTAGAACACTTTTTCTAGTTGGAAATTTATAAAAATTACTCTGTTTATATTTTGAACTATGAAATTCAATTTAAAATTCCCATTTAGTTTTCCTACATAGAACAAAAAAATTATCGGAAAGTCAAATTAATTTCTTACGAGCTTTTGAAGCTAGACATTGGATATTCACCAGTAAATTAACATATTATCATACAATGATTTTCTTATTTTGTCGTCATTCAAAAACTAATAACCATAAATACTTGAAATTTTCATCGTTTTCTATACATCATTTATAGACACTTGAAATTTGAATTTTTTTAAGTTTTTTATTCTATAGAATATGTCAATAAAATATTACAGGTTTGGTCAAAAGATTTGAAAATTTAATACAAGGTTCCTCATATGTTTTTATAATAGTTGATACTTATTAAAGATCCATAGGCACGATTTTTTTTATAAGTATTTAAAATTCAAATTTTGATAATACTTATCAAAATCTCATAAATTATTAATTATAGTAATTTAAAAAATATAAAATGTTCAATTTTGTATACCTAAGGATTGAAAATGTTAAACAAAGATTCTCATAAATAGATTATACTGTAACCAAAAAAATCTAAAAAATATATAAACCTTTATTTTTTATAGTTATTTTATGTTCAAATTTAGACGAAATTGGATATTTAAACTAAGAAAAATGATTTTAGTTGTGTGTTATATTTTTAAATAATTATTCGTTATTTGTACTTGAAACTTCTAAAGTACCTATATTACTGTATACAAATACGATAATAATCAAATAATAATAATTCAACAGGCTACCTACCGTATTAATAACAATATAAATATAATATAAAATATCCTATGCTGACCTAAAGTATAGCAGTCCTACTTCCACTAACCCAATTTTGTGTTAATATTTAATTTATTTTGTTAGGTATACAGTTGAATGGATTGGTCGGGAAGGATTAGATACTGAAACACACCAAGAATATTTACAAAATTTCATAATGCATTTTTACAAAAATATTACCAAGTTAGTGGATAGAGCCATGAGAAAAGAAGATTCTAGTCCTCAAGGGCAAATTGTGACTGAAATATTACAGCATTTGCACGCTTGTCATAACTCTGTTAAAGTTTGTTTTTTTAGGTATATTTAAAGATTTTTCAATGTTTGATTGTATTTTTTCTTTTCTAGGTTTTTTATGGGCGCGAAGACAGTTTGAAACATATTGAACAATATATGAAAAGTAAATGTGAAAAACCAATGATACTTTTTGGTGAAGGTGGTTGTGGTAAAACATCACTCTTGGCAAAGGCTGCGGGCTTAAGTTATTCGACATGGTTTAATAAGACAGCCACCAAACCACTTTGTGTGATACGATTCTTAGGAACAACACCAGACAGCAGCACATTAACACCAGCATTAATATCTATATGTCAACAAATATCGTATAATTATATGTTGCCATTTGATGACATACCTGATGACTTAGTCCCACTGACAGCACATTTTAAACATTTATTAACATATGCAACTCTAGAGCAACCTTTGGTATTATTTTTGGATTCAGTAGATCAGTTAACAGGTACCCAAGATACTAATAATGTATCCTGGTTGCCAACAAGATTGCCCAATAATTGTAAGGTATGTATAATATTGAATGGTTTTTTACCAGAATATTTTACTTTTTTCTTTTATCTAAACAAATGTCTGTTCAAGTTATTGGTATCTGTAGCAAAAGAAGAAGGAAATTCGGATGTATCTCGAGATTACCATGTATTGCGAAGAATGATAGATGATGGAGAACAGTTTATTGAAGTAACTGCACTTGGAGAAGAATTAGCCGAAGAAGTAATTAGGTAATCTATTAGGTTATTTTAGGTATTATTGGTTTCACTTTTAGAGTTTATTATATTTTGCATAATTGTATTTTCTTATAATATAAATTAAATTATTAATTGTTATAAGTTATATAGGTAGGTAATGATATTTTTTATCATTCCATGTTATTGTTTACAAACCATTTTAATTTTTATCGGTTTTAATCATAGAGCTATAAATTACATAGGTACCTAGTTCGTAGGTCTATGGTTTAAATGCTATTATTACTTATAAAATGCTTTTAAAAATTTAATTCTTCTCCATTTAAAAATGTTTTGAACTTCAATGTATTTAATTTATATACTTTACATAGGTACCTATTAAACTTATATTTAGTTTAATATTATATTTTACATTTACATTATAGAAAGTGGATGGAAACAGCACACCGAGATTTGACAAATTGTCAGTGGAGACTTGTATCGAATGCTATCAATCAATGTTCTTTGCCAATTTTTGTCAAACTAGTATTTGCTGAAATTTGCCGTTGGCGAAGTTACACTAAACCACAAGAAACTCATTTAGCATCTAATGTTATGGATTCAATCATGATGCTTTTTGAAAGGATTGAGAAGCAACACGGCCGACTTCTTGTCTTTCATGCTTTAGCGTACATAACAGCATCAAAGAGTGGTTTGTCTGAATCAGAACTAGAAGATTTAATATCGTTAGATGACAAAGTATTAGATGATGTTTATCAATACCATTTGCCACCAGTCAGAAGAATTCCTCCTTTATTGTGGACTAGGATTAGAAATGATTTACCTAATTACCTGTCAGAAAGAGAAGCTGATGGTGTTAGTGTATTAAACTGGTATCATAGGTATGTTTAATTCAAATTATTGATTATTTGTTATTTGATAAATGTAGTGAAGTTATTAAAATGTAATATGTTTTTTAATATATTTTGACAGACAATTTAGAGACGCTGCTCGAGAAAGATACTTTAAAAATATGAATATGGTTACCTATTTTCATTCGTCTATAGCTGATTATTATTTAGGAATTTGGGGTGGGGGAAATCCAAAACCATTTAAGTATACTGAAATCCAGAGACATAGATTTAACTTATTAACTAGAGAAGGTTCAGCAGATAGAAAAGTACCAGTACAACCTCTTGTGTTTTATTCAAAAGAAGGAACAGCTTCAAGATATAATTTAAGAAAAGTTAGTAGTATAAATAAGTACTATAAAAAGGCAGAATTGTTTATACCATTAACAATTATAAATTCAATTAATAGTTTGGAGAGTTGCCATATCACCTTGTACGAGCTCATCGTTTTCAAGATTTGTACAAGAATGTCTTATTTAACTATCAATGGTTGCATGCAAAGTTATCCTCATGTCCTTTACAAGCAGTTTTAAGTGACTTTGAGGATGCTTGTGCAAATATTGATGACCGAGATGCCACTAGGTAAAATTTATTTTAAAAAAAATCTTGTTATTATATTTCTTGAAATATTTAATGTATATTTTCTATTTCAAAACATCAATTAGCAATGAGATCAAATCAAAGCAAAGGTCAGGTTTTGGTTTTGTAATTAAAATGTGATTGTCCTTTACAGGATATGCCAAATCTGACATGGCGATGGTCTAGGATGCCATACATCCTGAATGAAAATATTTTCTAGAATTATAAATAATTTTTAGTGTTCATTTTTAGGGAGTTGATACTTGTCGCTGATGCTTTAAGATTAGGTGGAGCAATACTTAGTGAATTTCCTGATATGCTCGCTCCTCAATTAATTGGTCGTTTATTACCAGAAATCGGATCCAATCCAAATATAAAAAGTTTATTAGCAGAATGTGATAAATTTGGACCAGATAATTGTGCTCTTATACCATATTATCATTGTTTACATACTCCGGGAGGTCCATTAAAAGTATAAACTATGTTAACTGTCATAATTTTTTTATTAATTGTATTTTGTATATATATAGTATTCTCTGGAAGGTCATCAATTCGCTGTTTTTGATTTTCAAGTAACATCTGATTATAGATATATTGTGTCAATATCAAATAGATTTATTACATGGGATTTATCTACAAGTGATATGACTAGGAATGTAAATCCAGGATTGGAAGGAATTATGCAAGCATTATGCTTGAGTCCTGACAATCGCTATGCTGCAGCTTATACTAACAATAATCAAGTAAATTTGCTTTTTCTAGATAATTATAATAATTGTTTATAACTTCAAAATATTATTGCATTATGTACAGACTGTCTTATTGAATTGTCTTACAAGTGAATTTACTGTTATTGAAAATCCTTTTGAAAACGGAGAAATTGTTTCGGGCGTTAACATGCTAAATACTCATTTATTTGTGCATGGATCTTTTTCGCTGTGCAGATATGACTTAAGAGGAAATTTAGAATCCAAGTATTTAATCAATTATTTTTAGAAATGTATTCAACTTATAATTATATCTGGAATTTAAATTATCTTTATTACTCTATTGTAAGTTAAGTTTACTAATAAACTACTTTGCTTAGTTGGTGAATATTGTTTTGCAGAGTTACAACAAACGAAGATCCTAATCAATGGGTTTTAATGTCTGTGAAATTCAATACATTAACTTGCAATCGTTTTATATTTTGGTCTGGAAAAATGGATGACACTAGGATGATGATGCAAACAATGAAAGATAATAATATTTGTCCACACTTTTATTTCCATAGTGCCATGGCCATAAATAAAGATGAAACTAGATTGTATTGTTGTCCAACTAAAAATTCATATGATATTTCCCAATTCGATTTTATTGACAATGATTGGAAATTGATTAAAGATTTAGAACATAGTAATATATTAATTTTTGCCAGATTTCACTTGTATGAATTGTATTTTAATACAGTATAATAATTAATTTCAGTTGGAAATTGCACAGTGCTTCAAATTAAATTATCAGAGGACTCGTCTTCACTTTTGGGTACAATTTCAAATGGTTTTTGTATTTGGGATTTGTCTTCAGATGGTACAAAAGTGTTACATTTACCACATGGAGTACGTAACATTACTATAAACATGATGCAGTCTAATTCGTGTATGTTGTCAGCTGACAAACGGTTTTTAGTTGCTGGAGTTAGGTAGGCATTACGCATTAAATAATAACTATTAACCCAGAGACCTAGTAACCACATTAAATTTATATTATATATAAATTGATGTTTAATTTATTTTAGAAAAATGTTGTATGTGTGGAATATGGAAACTGAACTATTAATTAAAGTATTAGATGCTCATTTTGGTCGCATAATATCGCTTTTGCCATTAACTACAGGGAATTGGAATTCCGTAATTACTTCATCCATTGACAGATCAGTAAAGGTTTGGAATATCAACAATATATTCGAACAAGTTCATGTTATAGATCGACATGAATTACAAATTGATTCTATAAGGTAAAATGATAGTTTTTAAAAATAATTCTATGTAAATGATTTATAAATATATAATACATTTTAAGTTTATCACATTCTGGCTTGGCAGCCACCGTAACACGAGGTTGCGTCGGGATATGGGATATAAACACTGGGAGGTTAATCCAACAGTTAGCAGACAATTTATTAGGAGCAATTGTTACTCAAGCGTTAATTACACCTGATGGAAAATACATAGTGTGTTCTGAATCTGGAAATTTACTAATATGGAATCGTCTTTTATGTCGAGTCATTTTTAAGCAACAACAATCTGGAATCCAGCAAATTATGCTTTTAGACGAAGCAACAAAATGTCTTACAGTTTCTAGACAAGAAGAAATAAATGTAGAAACCCAGCAGAATATTGATGCTACAGCTATTGTGAGATCTATTCCAGATGGAAAAACTATTTATTTATTTGATTATCAAGTACGTAATGTAACGGGTATGGAGTTTAAAGACCTTGTTGTAACTGCAGATGGACTTAATTTGATTGCTCTGGCTAGTGATAAAGGTCACAGAGAAGCACTTCATATATTTAATGCGTCCAACGGTGAATATGTTACTAAAATTGTTCTCAAACAATCTGGAATGAAGGTAAGATTAGTCATAACATATACTTTGTAGTAGTTACTAGTTAATATTAATCATAGTAGATAATATTTGAAATAAACAGTGGTGGACACTGTGTAGTACATGTAAATGTTTAAATTGAAAAACACACTTGTTAATCTTATAAGATTAAATAAATTATTTAATTCACACTTTTAAATTAAAACAGAATAAAGTTTGTTCAGATATTTGAAGACAGAATAATTAAATTATTCTACTTGAGACTAGTCTGCTATCAAACATTGGGAATTTACTTGTATAAGTGTTATGTTAGCGCTAAAGTGCTTAAGTGCTCGGTCTGTTTTATACGTAATTAATTTACATAAACAATTAAATGTTGATGTTTGTTAATACATATTAATTATTCATACAATTTAAGAAGTAGAATCTGACTATACCCTCAAGAGGCAGTTAATAAAGCATAATTTCTGTTAATAAGCAAAAATGAATAATATTTTTATTATTTTAGTCATGTCATGTGTGGTGCTGTTGGTGTAGTCAGATCTTGTGACCGGGCAAATTACCTACAATGTTTAATGTCAAAAGAGGTTGAAGTGTTGGGATTTAATAATCTATCCTCGTGTGGAGATATGTATTAATTAATGCATAAGAATGAAGCCTGGGATAAATGTGTGCAAGTTATTGGGACATTTCAGTGAATGACTCCACATATGATGCTGATCTGAAGAGAAATAATTAACAACCGGGAAAAATCAAGGGAAACCCATATAACGCAGCCTTGTGCGAAGGAAGTCATAATAATTCACGTAGAATGTATTGTCCCTACAGGTATTCCAAACGTAGACCAATGTGGGTAGTGGAAGGAGAACAAATGAATATGGTGTATAAGTATAACTGCACTTTAAAATCATTCAATGTAATTGATGTCAAATTATAATATCCCATTTTAATACCTGTAACTGTGATGTTAGGGTATTAGATTTAGTTAATTACACATTTTTACCATTAATCTGTCATTTGTATAAACCAGACATTAGCAGCATTTGGTATATATTGTTAATTGAAGTAACAAATAATAATGTTTTAGATCTAGGTACCTAATACCATTGATTATAAATACTATTAAAGCATTTATAATCAATGCTAATCAGTGGCGCACACTCAAAAATAAATAGGGGTAGCAAATTGAATCGGTTACCTCTTTATTGGCTAATAGACTAATGGCCATAGCCTATAATTATTCAATAGTTTATTTTCAATATTTTTATACATAGAATATTTATGTTGTAAATATTTTGGAGCCAGGAGGTCCACCCACCCACCTACCAAAAAAATCAGGGGTAGCAAATGTTACCCTTGGACCCTCCAGTGTGCGCTACTGATGCTAATACTTCATAAGATTATTTATTATTCATAAAATGTGAAATTATGTACTATGTATGTTTTTCACTCATTGAAATTTAATGTATTATAATGTATGCATTATAAGTATATGAAAAGATAAATATTCTTTTTTTGGCATATTATATAAAATTTATTTTGACTTCATGTTTTGTCATTGGAGTTGTATAATATATAGATAATAATAGAATTATACAAAGCACAAAAGAATAATAGAACAACCGAAATAGACATTTGATTTAAATATTATGCAGTAGTCTTGACAATGCTTGTTTCTGCTACTTGTTTGGCATCAGGTAATTGTTCAAATGCCAATAATAAGTCATCTTGGTTTTAAAATAATTTAGCAACTCGCTTATAAACTTTGGCTTCAGTTTTTGTTTAGTTACTACAGGTGGTGTGGTAGCCAAAGTGACTACCTAGTAGAGTAGTAACTATTTGAGTGCTTGTCATTATAATATATTGAATGGTTGAATGTTTAATTGTCTGGGAAGACATTATCGCCGGCCTTTGAGGTATCCACACAAAAACATGACAGAAAAGTTTTTAATTTTTCATATTTTTATTTGATGACACGGGGGTAGCCACACATTAAAACCCATTATGAGCTCAGGATGACCATTGAATAGGCTTGAGATGCGCGCAATCACTTCGGGATAATCTATTTTTTTCTTTTTGAATTTTATCAATAAGGCTAAGAAGTCGCCATACACTTCAGGTTGATTACTAAATTCATATTTCACCTTATCCATATAGGACAGGGCATCTTCGACCTTTAACTTCCGCGATGGGGTCGGCTGCTCCAGTCCCTGTTGAATAGAGTTATCCCTCATCTGTTCCTTGTCGCTGTTGGCTTGGCCCGGCATCGTATTGAACTGCTTCACTGCGTATGTTCGTGTTTTTTATGCCGTTTATGATCTGCGAAATTAAATGCGACCGGTGGAATTACGGTAGAAAACGGTCACCACGCGGCAACCACCAGGTTGTTGTAGTGACTGGCGGACCTCAATCAGCTGTAGCCAGTGGTATAATTCACGATAAACTACTGTAGATACTATTGTCTATTATACACGATCGAGTGTAAATATTAAAAATTAATAGATATGATCACAAATAAGTAAAAACCAGTTTTCGTTGGGTTGGCGCATCCTTGTCCCCATTTATTTAAACATGTTATTATAGATACTATACAGTGTGTACACCCAGGGGCCAGGATGTACTATAGTACAACTATATACATAGACGATACACAGAATATTATCCTATATTTTCACATAATCTGTGCTACATATTATAACGTGTAGATAAGACGATAAAGTCACTTCCTAATATTCCTATTTTTAAATTTTGAGTCGGATCATTACCACGTTGGAGGTACTTTTGAGAAAAGTCCAATGATCCCATATTTTTTGACTCAAAAATGTTGAGTCCTTTTTTATAGCATTTATTCAGGAAAGCTAAGTAGGGGTATTTATTTATACCGTTATTCAACTTTATACTTTGGAGTTTGAATATTTATGTTTTTACGTGCTTTTAGTTTCTTCGAATTCTACTTACTACCTACTGAGTATTGGCTATTACTTTAAGGGGCCCGATGCCGGTTTTTCAAATTTTCCACAATTCTATAAAATTTGAATATTATATTTTATACTTCAGTTTCCACCTTCATTATAATACTTTTCTACTAATCTACTGCCCGATACATATTTAGGGTGGGGGGTTGATACGGTGTATTATAGCGAGGCATTGGCAAGGTACTCAGGTACTAACTACTAAGTCATGAAAACAAAATTTTACAGGAGAAGGAAAACAGTTTTTATGACCACGATGACTTACGGTCAGTGCCATCTTGTGTCCATCGTAATTACTAAGATTTAAAGAAATTTCCCTGGCCATTGGCATATGTATTTACTACTTTTTCAAAGAAAAATCCCATACTAACTTAAAATAATTCTCAGGCCTTGTAGAGTTGTCAGATTTTGATAACTATTTTTTTTATCTGAAGGAAGATGACTTCCTCAATCCTATAGGCCGCATTGAACTCCGATTTTTTTATTTTATTTCAAATAATGCCATAATGGTATAATATAATTTGTAAAAACTCAAAATTGTACAATTTTTGAAAATATACTTTAAAGTTTGATATTAAAATACTGAAAATTTAGTTCAATGAGGCCTGAACAATATTACACTATTAGTTTAAAAAAAATTATTGAATTTGGTTGATTCTACAGAACTTACAGGATCATTATTCCTGTAGAGCGTATTTTTGTGGATAAAATTACATTAGCATTGAGCGCCTTAATAAAACTGAATACTGTAAAATGCATGGTTAGAAAATAAAATATTTTATATCTATTTATGAGTATATCAATAAAAAACACAATTTTGATTTATTCAAGTCTTACCCATGTCACAATTTAGCTTTAGTGTATAAAAACAAAAAAGTACCTACTAAATAAAGTCCTACTTAAAAGTTAAAACGACATTAATTATATAAATGGTTTGAGTTGATAATAAATACACCATGATTAAGAATTGTTAATGTTTTTTTAAACTAAAATACATTTTCTATTTCAATAAATGTTATATTAATACTTCTCTATTAGTTATTGAGCCATTAAAATCTACTATGAAAATTTAAAAATGGATATAAAAAAATTTAAATTGCATAATTAATAATTAATTCAGTATAAAATTATTATATCATTAAAATATTATTAATAACTTGAGTGAAACATACTTAAAACAACATTAATTATTTATAGAAAATAGTTGAGTTAGTAAAAACTAATAACTAATAAAATTGTTAATGCTTTTTAAACTATAATACATTTTCTATTTCATTAAATTTTATCTTAATATGTCTATTACTTATTGAGCAATTAAATTCTACTGATTTAAAAAATGGATGTAAATATGTAAAACTGAATAATTATTCAGTATAAAATATTAGTGTATCTTTATAAAATGATTAATACCTTGAGTGAATTAAAAAATGTTAAACAGGGTTTAACCACAACAATTATAGTGACAATAATGATTTCTAAATTGTATTGTATAAAAATTGTAATAAAAAACTGATAATAATTCACTAGTCCACATTATATTAATGGGGTGACAAAGCTCAACTATCTTCCACCTTAACCTTTAATTTTATTGTTGTGGACAATTTAGAATTAAAAAATGGTTCAGTGTTTATTGAAAGACATATACAAAATAATTATAAAATTAATACTGGTTGTGACTGGTAATCTTTCTTGAAATAACCATAAGAGTACATAATGTTATATTATTATTTTCAGGATATTATGTTTATTGTAGCAATGCCACATCGAGCTAATTTAGTTGCTGTAATAAACCCTGACAAAGGTATGTTGTTTGATATCCGTACAAAGAAATTTTTAAAATCAGTTCCAAAGTGGGGAGGATTTTGTACAAAAGATGGAAAATATGGATTATATGCACCCACCAGAGGGGGTCTAGAGCTTTTGGAACTAAAAAAGGGAAGCTCTGTTAAGACGTTTATACCGCGAGTTGCTGAGGGTGTATTTACAGTAATTTGTATGTTTAACAAGACCGATGAATACGTATTGTATTATCATAGCGGAAAGAAAACATTGAGAGTTTTTCGGTTTGTTTTAAGTCTTAATAATATTTAGTATTGTGAATTTATAATATAATATGAACAATTCAACAGACTTACTGACGCAAAAATGTTGGCTAACTATCGTGTACCAGCAGAACTAAGTGCTATAGAAACAACAGAAGATGGAAGGGCGGTTGTTATTGCTACAGTAGATGGATGTCTAACGGTCTTAGCTATAGCCGATCCAAATAAAAATTCATTTCTCTCGGCGTTGCCATCCAGAGATGAAACTGTGAGTGTCAAGAAAATTTTTGAAATTTTAACCACTAAAATTAACAATTTTTATTTTAGTGGAAAAAGAAAATGGATAAACAACGAACAGCAAAATTATTTAAAGCTGCTGCTGCAATTACTAAGTTTTGTGTATCTGTAAGTGAACCAAATTTAAAAGAAGAAGTTGGGAGTAGTATAAATAATTCACAACTACATACATCAAAAATATTGTCAAAAGGATAAAATAGATTTATGTTTATTTTTCAGAGCTTGATTATTTCGTAGTTATATATTATACTTACGTATTGTTTTTAAATTAATATTAATAAATCAAAATAAATTATTTTATTGGTTTTATTCTTTTTTTAATACAATTTATTTAGACTATGAGATTTATGTTTTATCAAATATTAATAAGTTTAAGGCACCACGTCTGAAAAAATAAATTATTTTAATTTCAACAATTAATACATTTTTTAAAAAAATAATAACTAATTTAAAACAATAAATATTGTAAACTATAAAAAATATATGCCTAAACAGATTCATTGGACATAATAAACACACTCATGAATCAACTCCAGTATCTAAGTGCAGAGTCTGTTTCATTAATTCGTAAGTAGAAAATGACACAGCAACCATAGGTACTGCTCTAATGAAATTAATGCTCATTCCTCGATATAATCCGTTTGTAACGCCATTAGTACGATAAACAGTTACTAAGGTCTTGATCATACCATGTCTGAAATAAGGAACAGATGATTATAAATAAACTGTATAGTTTAGGTAAACTACGTGCACTTTAAGAGCATGATCAATCAACATGGAAAAAACCTAATTTTAGATGGCGAACTGGTCATATTCTTAACATGCGCAGAGTATATAATTAAGACAATTACAATAAAAATTAATAATAATAAATATTTTATTATGTGTGTTGTTTGTATTGAAATATAAATTGTATACTCAGGCCCACCAGAGTCCATACTTAATCCAAGCATCGAGACTGACTGCTGGCCGAATTTTCTCCCACCATAATGCCGTCCCCACCACTCGGCAATGTGAATACAGAGGGTTATAAAAGTATAATTTAATATTATCATATTACATATACACGTGGTTTGCTGCAGTCGCTCTGTATGCACGAATGTCAACGACGACTGTCGCCAATCGTTGCCGGCCGATTTTCGATAGGTATGATTTGGCGTATGGAAATGGAACCGATGCTCAGCAACAGACGCGTTTGGACATATGGACTCTGGTGGGCTGGAGTATAGTTTAAAGTAAGTTACTCACCCGTATTTTGCATTGGTATCCATGCTAGATAATTGCATTCTTCTCCTTGTTACGTCCAAGGGATAAGAAACGCACTGTGCAAGTGCACCAGATAAACCACCACATAGCAATTTTGCTGGTATAGTAAGTACGGCACCACCTATTCAAAATAGATTTAAATAATGTATGTAGCTTTTAATAAACCTGACTTATAACTTACCAGAATCATTGTTAGATGGTTTACTAAACCATTTTGGTAATGTTTTCAAACAAAATTTTTTAATAGATTCAAAACAGAAGAATGTTAAACCTGCATATGGAACCATACCACATAATGTAGGAACAAAACCACGATATAAAGCTTTTACTCCTCCTTCCTGTTAAAACTGTTATCAATATACGTTATTAACTTTATAAAGCATGCGATTTTCAAAGTACATTTTTGATAATGGATTTGGCTGTATGTATAATCCCGTTGTAAACATGTTCACCAGTCACTTGAAATGCTAATCGTGCTCTGATTGTATCTAGAGGATATGTGATGGTAACTGCTGTGACACCAGCAGATGAACCAGCCACAAACTTTCCAATATGTGAACTATTCCCAAGAATGGATCCTAATAGCTGAAAATAATTAATTAAAATTATAGCTATAATTAAGAATTAAGTAGTTTAATTATAATATTACTGTTTTGTAGAATTCAAATGATGTGAATTGAATAGCAGCATATGGGAAAACTCTCACCATTTGGGCACCATTGCCTTTATATAATGCGAAAAAACTCTCACGTTTAACAATTTCAGCAAGACCACTAAATACTCCTAAAATAGCATACAACAATTAATTAATATGGTGTTTAAACAATTTGAATATATACTTATATTATTAAATTATATAACTATAAACGTATATTAAAATAATAAATAAATAAACCTAATAATTTATAGATTTAGGTACTTAATGCATACCTATCTGTGATATTTAATATATGGATCTAATATGTTAATGTTCTATTACAGTTAATTTCAATAATGATTATAAGAATTTCATAATATTTAATTGTTCCAACTGTCAAATAAAATACATAGGTAATCTACATATTTAATTATCCATTATATAGTTATTAAATTGCATAATTATTGTGAAAATAATTTACTAAAATGACATGGTTACTTAAAGTACATTATTTTTATTTTACAGAAAAATGAGTTGTAACAATGTTGTATACTTTTTATAGTTGAAATAAAAAAAATAAATGACTTCGTAAATTATTAATTGAAATAACATTTTTAAAGATAAATTGATTTTTGGAGAAAATTATTACAGAAACCTTAGGCAATAAAAAAAAACATTATATAATTGATATCACTTTCCTGTGCCTAGTGCCCTGGACCTATCATTTCTCTATTACAATACATTAAATAACATTTTTGTTAAATCTACTTATTTATTTGGTACCTAACATATTACTATGAAAAGACAAGTCATTAAAATATAATTTTTGGATTTAGATACTATTTTTATTTTAATTGTAAAAAGAAAATATCCTATCATTAATCAGATATATGCAATATGCTATAATATTAAACTTGTGAGGGCATTCATTTGCTGAAACATTTCAAACTAAATAAATATAAAAATAATTTCTAAATGCATATTTTATAGATTTAATTTAAAGCAGTAAAATGTTTAAAATTGTTTAATTGCATAGATAGGTACTATTAAATGTTGACACTATTATAAAATATTATTATCGTATTTCTTTCTTAGTTAGGTGAGTAGGTGACTACTTAATATCAACATTATTAGAATTTTTTTTACAATTTTTACTAAAAATATTAATTTGTATGTAATTATCTAAGCTGTTCTTTTAATTAAAAATGTGGGTAACATTTTGTTTAGGTAATATTTAAAGTATAATAATCTTGTAATAATATAATGTTAGTTAAAAAAATACTAGGTAGTTTACCAAAATTTGAATAATGCTTGTTGTGGGCCTGTAACAGTATTTTTATTCGATCCAAGGGAGCAACAGTTGTTTTCGAACACATACCGGCAACACCTATAAAATCAATAAGATGTTATTGAAGTGATCACATTATTATGTATCACAGCTAAGAGATTCGCAATAAAGCCTCACCCCCAGCAAACAGAGATTTCATCACATAGGTAAAATCCTTTTTTTGCGTCTGCTTCAGCACGATCACTTCTTTGCTCTCGGACGCCAAAGCCATGGTCAGTACGGATTCCGCTGGAAACTATTGACAATGCGCCGCCGTACACTTTCACTGGGAACGAGAGAGAGACAGAAAGAGAGAGAGAGAGAAGAAAAAATTCAACGAATTCTCGGTTGGTAAATTTACGACGGGAAAACTGCGGCAGACCGGAAGCAGCACCGCACACCGCCAACAGTCGAATGCGCCATGGCCCGGTCGTCGCTTCGGGTTATATCATTCAAATTCCCAACTACTGGGCATTTAAACTATAGGCAGGTACAACCGCGGACCTTGAAAATAACTTTCACGCGCGACATTCAATTGAGGAGGATACGCCGCTTAAAATTTCTACGATAATATTATTATGCACGCGCGATGCAGCGATAACAAAATGATATTAGTGATATTACCCACACCTCGTGAAAACAATAATACAACCGACGCGCGCACGCACCATAGACACATTATAGACGTACGTCATGGCGTAAGTATATAACGTTATTAGCTGCTGTGCGTGTATGTTTTGTGCCATGACGGGCGTAGAAAGCGCGGTTCCGTATTTCCGTCTCACCTTACACTACCGGAGAGGGGATTTTTTGAAAAAAGTTAAAAATTTGAAGCTTATAATAATATTATTAGCCAAAAAAATACCTTAAAATATTCTATTAAAAACTGGTAAAATATGCGGTAAAAATATACCTACTGTAAAATAGAATTTAGATTAAAAATAATACATGTTAATAAAATATCTAGTAGGTACCTATACTCACCACTCGGTTACTTCGGCTACACGTCCAACGTGGAAACGTATACCTATGAACATCTTTTGGAGGGTCGTGCACATGCCAAGGTTCGTCCGCCGTCGGGCGTCAAACTCGGCAGTGATGAAACAAATCGTGAGCTTGCCTCTTCTATGTTTGGTATTTTCGTCTTGGCTGATTACTACAATAGTTAGTACTCGGTGTGCCGGCGAGTGGAGAGTGGTGGTGACACCAGTGGCGTAAACAAGGGGGGGGGGTGTGGGGGGTCAGACCCCCTACCATTGGCTTTGGAGTGGATATGTTCCATATTGTGTTTGATGTGAATTTTGAATCAATTCAAATTATATTCATTGTTCCTTGTTGTAAAATATTTTACTACCTTAGTAAAAAGTTTTGAGTGTGGGGGATTTTTCAATTTTTCCCTCCCATTTAGCCAAGTCATTTTATTTTTCTGACCCCCCCCCTTTCAGAAAATATGATGTCTACGATACTAGGTAACACACTGACACTGTGGGTGGAGTGTTAATAAATTAGGTACGCAAAAAACCTGCGCAAAACCATAGACCTATAATACAATATATCAATAAGTCTATGGCGCGAACTAATCTTGTCTATGGATACAGCATCAAAAAATGAAGCGAATTCAATATTCTAGATCACTGGCCAATATTTTTGATTATAAGATAAATATTTTTAAATTTAACTGAAAAACCGATATTAACGAATAACGATACAATATTCTAGTAACCATCACTCATATCTCTAATGAAACCTAATAATTATTATTTTCATTATAGTCATTAATCATTATGTATAGGTAAGTACCTAATTAATATGCTGAGTTGTATAATATAAATACAATCCATAAACAATATTTAAAGTATAAATTATGAATGAATCAATAGTTAGCTAATGTGGTCCCTCCAACTGAGTTGAACACGATTCAGTGGCCAACCGCCAACGATTGGTCCATTCCATTTCAATGAATAATTAATTCAATAAATATTTAATATTTTTTTTCAATTTACACAACCCATGATTAATGTGTATATTATATTATTATTATTTTGTCTATGTGTAGAGTATTTTAATTTTCAACATCTGCTCACTCCAACTCTCTAGAGTACCTTTCATACATCACAGATAGGTATGAGATAATAGGTTATTAAGTAAAAATAGTGGAAATTAAAATTTGTTGTTCTCAAAAAATCATAATGTATTTTTATTTTACATTTTAGAATTAAAGTTAAAATATTCTGAGTAGATAATATTATCACTGATTTAAAATGTGAAAATGTATTATTAGTTATTACCTATTGGCTATTACTATTAAAATAATACCTATGAGGCCATGTATAAATATTGTAATAAAGTTATTGGTAGATCAAAGTGATAGTCAATAGATCAAGACCAAAAACACATTGTGGCCAATTCTTGGCTATGTTGCTAGGAAATTAGGAAGAATATCTGTAGATGTTGTTTTGTTTATGTATTTTTCAATATAGATATATAGTTAGATTTTACAATTACAAATAAAATTTAGGAGTTACTTCTGGAAGGATTTGAGGTGCAATATGGATATTATGATTTATGACGTTGACATAGTACTTTTCTTTATATTATCATTTCTTTTTGTCATGGTAAACACGGTATTCGGAAAAAAGTCCCAATATCAAAATACAGAAAGAAGCCCCTCTTATAGGAAAAAAAAAGCCGCGTTTCTACTAGATATATAATACTTTATTATTTCAGTGTACATTTTATGAATTTTACAATTTTTTAAAATTTTTAAAATTATGTACAAATAACAAATATTATTAACAATGTAAAATGCAGATTGCAGCTATACCTGTATATAGATAAATGTATTGATTATATTATGATTATATTATTGTGTATAAATCATAAAAAAAGGATAATTTATTTAATTGGTATGGGGTTTTTTTCCTATAAGATACCATTTTATCTAGGAGCTTATTTTAGTTTTACACAATTTTAAAATGCTCATAACTTATTTTGGTATAACTTCAAAATACCTAGCTATCTAAAAAACCCTATAGGTACGCAAGCCTCAATGTTTACTAATTAATTTGATAATAGGTCAATTCATTTTACAAAATTAAAAAAATATCTGAGTAAAATTGTTTATTCAGAACGTTAAATTTACTGTTAGCAGTGTTAGGTGCTGTTAGGTAGGTACCCCGTACCCATGAATTAGTTAGACGGACACAACATATGCGGGTATGACGTCCTCTTAATAAAAATTATTTCCATGCAATAACCAAATCAATATTTGAACACCTAATAATTTAATGGTTATAATATTGTAAACGTTTAATATAGTGATGACTAGATTAAAATATACTTAAATCATTATGTAAAAAATACACATGATACGATTAATACTTACGATATAAAACGAAAATTTAGATTTAGACATAAGCGCAAAAAAATGTAAATTAATTAACAGGTATGTGTATAAATAGCGAATAAGCGACATTTAGTTTTAAATGTTAGCATAAGCGCCATAGGATTTTACTTTATGGGGCCTAAGCGACAACAATGTTGAACACGTTTTCATTTCAATATGAATAACACCACCTCTCCGAAAATTACTAAATCCAAACGGTCGCTGCCATCTTCTCCAAATTCACATACCCAAATGGAAAAAAAATCCAAGTCATTTGTTTCGCCAAATAAAATCGCTGTCTTAGCTAACGAAGAGGATAATGAAATCCAACTAGACACCTCTATAGTGATACTTCTAATATAACCAACGAGTCTATACCTCTTCATCAACAGGACAACATCAGGGCTCCGCCAATATACGTTCTAAACATCACCAACTACTCCGCATTCAATAATGCGTTAGTACAAATCACCGGCCTAAACGGTTTTTCTTGTATGTCCAAGTCTTCCTTTTTGATTATTCGACCGCATGGACGTACTATGTTTAACTTAATCATTAGTCATCTAATGGACACCAGTGCTTTTTTTCATACTTTCATGCCTCCACTATATCGACCTTACAAGGTCATTATCAGAAACTTGCACCACACAACACTCACCTCCGATATATCTGACGCACTCTCGGAGTTAGGTCACTCCGAAAGACGAGTCACAAACGTCATAAAAAATGGTCACCCATGCCCACTGTTTCTTGTGGAGTTAAATCCCAACACCAACAATAAAGAAATCCTAAACTTGTCTTCTATTTTGCACACATATATAAAAGTCGCATTACCATATGGAACCAAGAGTGGTCCACCTAAGTGCCGAAACTGCCAGAACTACGATCACCCCTCAAACTATTGTCACCATCCTTTCCGGTGTGACAAATGTGGGGGTGATCACCACACCGAAGTTTGCACCAAAATCAAAACCAGTCCAGCCAAGTGCGCCCTATGCATGGGCAATCACACTTCCAATTACAAAGGATGTCAAATTTTCAAAGCTTTTCTCAAACGACGGAGAACCACAGAATCCGAATCCGGTACTCACTTCTCTTTATCTCCAAACTCTCCTTCTCCTTCCCAAAACTTCTTACGCCTCCGTTACTAATTCTAAAAATATACCACTACCCAATATCCACGCAATTGATAAGCCACTAACTAAATTTAGATCAGAACTTTCCTCTTTAATCACTCCCCTCATTACACTCCTTACAGCTTTTCTAAATAAACAGCTTGTTCCATAGTCCGATACTCCGATTACCTTTCTTATCTCATATATAAATTAAATTAAAATATTTTTAATCGCCAGTTATGTAAATGTAATTATTGTACCTTATAGGTCTTAAATTCATATTATTATATTAATATTTCTAGTCAATATCATATTGTAATGTTGAATGTTGTACTAGTACAATTTTGTAATTGTTGAGCTATCATAGTTTAAACTAGAAGCGAAAAAAAAAAAAATGTCGTACTCTTAAAAATGAAATATCATATGAAGTTATTAACATTTTTATTCCAAAGAGAATATTATTTATCTACGTTTCTATTAAAATAACATGTAATTTATTTATGATTAATGATTATAAATTATATAATATTATTATCAATGAAAATTAACTACCTATGATGGACTATTTGTTTTTTATAATAATTATTAATTTTGCACGTGAATATTCACACAATAAGAAGAAAATTAATAGGGCATAAGCACCTAAATACTATTACTAACATTATAGATAAGGAAATTAAACACTAAATTATATAATAATACACTATTCTAACTGATATAAATGTTTAACTA